ACATTGCTCCTTTCCTGTCACTTTTTGACCTGAATACAGCCTTGATTCATAGCTTTCTGGCAGCTATTTTGTAAGTACAGGGGAAAGACCAAGTCATCACACAGATCACTGAACCTAGCCTTACTGAGTTGCTGAATTAACATTAACATCACCTTTCTCTAGATTTCTTACTTTATAAGAAAATATATTATTTGAGCCATTACTACTTGGATTCTCTTTTATTTGGTGGTAAAAACATTCATTCTTGCTTGATTTAGGGGAAGAGGGACAGAAGAGTTGACATATATCTTTGTAAGCTGTTAAAAGTTTCTATGAATTTTAGAATCAATAGCAGTGTCTGGCACATAATTACTTGAAAAATATTAAAATATATATGATGGATATATGAATCTTGTGGGACTTTTGTAGATATAAATTGACATGAAGCAAAATCTGAGCTACTTCTACTTGACAGTTTTGATTAAGGGCGCTCAATGGTTGTTCATTATAGGACACTGTAGTGTCCACAAGTACAGGATGGGTTCTTTATGGATTCAGGCAGAGTCCTGGAGCCTTCGTGGTTTCTTCAGGCTTTAGCACTCTTTCTGTGTCAATTTTGTGGGGGCTAAGTCCACAGGCTGGCAAGGGAGGGAGCCTGGGGGTCCAAGAGGCTGTCACGACTCCCAAACCCTGGGGAATCTACTCTTTCTCTTTGGGCTCTCTCTGGCATTCTCTAGTGGTTTCTTCCTCTCAAACCTGTTGTTTGCTGCTCTGCTGTAGCTATTCCTGTCTCTGAGTGACACCGCCCTTAAACTCTTTTTTTAAAAAAAGATTTATTTATTTATACAAGATTGATTGATTTATACAAGCACTGGGTACAGTCAGAAGCGCGGGAGGGTGAGAGAATTCACCAGAGCCAGAGCGGGGAGCAGAGCAGGCAGAGGGACTGAAGCACACTGCTGAGGGGAGCAGCGGGCATGGCAGGAGAGGTCTGCGCACCATGTGGGACCCTCCTCTGGTGGCCTGGAGCAGCCGGGGATCGAACCAGTGCTGCAGAGGCTGCGGGCAGCTTCGCAACCCAGCGCTCAACCACTGCGCCACTGGGGAGGCCCTGCCCTTAAATTCTTAACCTTTAGGCTCAGGTGTGCACACTTTACGCATGCCCACACGATGCTCCAGTTGTCCACAATCAGGCATGCACACTCCAAGCCCATGCTCCCAAGTACCTTCTGCATTCAAGAGCACAGGTGATAGCCACATAGGCTAGTGGTGTAAAAAGCCTGACTATTTGTAGTGCCAGCAAGGCGCAGAGCAGGTTCTTTATTGATTCAGGTAGATGGGTAAAGGAGAAATCCTGGAGACCTCAGTGGCTTTTTCTGGCTTTTAATGATCTTTCTATACCATTTGTAGTGACGCAACCAGATGCAGGGGAGGCAGGGAGTCCTGGTCTCTTTGCTGGTCTCTACTGCACTGTCCTCTGCTACTGCACAGTCCTATGCTGCTGCACTCTGTTCTCTGCTGCTGCACCTGTGATGCCACCCTTATAGTTAGTCTCTCAGCTCAGTTGTGCCCATCTATGCACGCCCACACCAAGCTCCAGGTGCTGCCATCAGGCACACGTGTATGACCACAGGTGTCCATCATTGATGCTAATGTCCAGAGGGCAGAAAAAACCTGATAACTTCCATTTACCCCACACTGTTTCATTTACTGTACAGGCACTTACCTCATTTTTATATAATTATATACACAAGGAGAATCTTCTTAGAGTTACACCAGTACCTTTTAAAGAAGCTAAGTGAACTTAGCTACAGGACACTTTATTACATTTAAAACTGCAGGAGACACCAGTCAAGCTCTGCTCTAGTCCCTCAAAAGGCTGATTTCATATGTGTATTTGTTATGATGGAAAAACTTCTTTGAAAGCAAATACACTGTGATGAGGGAATCCCTAACTAAAGCATCTCTCACATAACTTTCAAATGCCTGGGACCATGGAAGGCATAGTGTTAACATTTCAGTTTCCATGGAAGATGGTTAGTTTTAACAAAGTATTTTTTTGCCAATATTTTGTGATACCAACTACAACAAATCATGTATACTAGTAATCAGAAAGTGAAATAAGGTATTTTAAAATCATTATCTGATTTTAATTTTGTGTAGAGGAAGGACGAAGACTGTAATTAACTTAAAGTAATGAAAATGTGTTTTTTTTCTCCCCTGTGCCTTTTCCCAAAATTTTCCTGAGAGTTTGATAGAAATACCCAGAAATTTTATGACTAATGGAGTGTTTTGATTGGTTTTGTACTAAAACAGTCAAGAATGACAAGCAAATATTAGAGAGTACAAACCTTGAAATGGCAGTTGTTCTTTTGATTTTGGATTTGCACAATTTGTCCTCGACTCCTCTCAGAGTATGGGATTATGAGAAACTAGATGTGATAAGGAAAGAAAAAGGTCCTAGTTACTGGTAGAAATATGGCCAGAGGGAGCCATAAATGTAATAAAAATGCATTCTTAAACTGCAGAAAAAAAATTTTAGCTCTTCCATCTAGGTGGGCAATTCCCTGGGTGGACTGATATTATGAGTCAATCAGACCAAAAATATATGTCCAGAGATTACAAAAAAGATAAACACATTTGTGGGTCGGAAATGCCTCACTTGGTCTCAACAAACTTCTCCCCCTCTGTAGAGGCAGGAAGGGCCAGAGCAGGTTTTCTATGATCCCATGCAGACTGGGTAAAGGAGGACAGAGTCCTGGAACCCTCAGTGGCTTTTGCAGGCTTTTATTGGGATTTACCAGGTACACAGCAGGCAGAGGTGCTGGGCCCCCTCCCCCCGCCAGAGGCTGGCAGGCCTCCCAGCCCCCAGCAATTCCTCACTCTATCTGGGCTCTCTGGCGTTCTCTGGTGGCCTTGTTCTCGTGGTTCTTCTGCTTCTCTGCTTCTTTCGTTCTGCTTCTACTGGCGTCCCTGTGACGCCGCCCCTAAAAGCCCAGTCTTAACCCAGGTGAATCCCATCTACCTATGCCCACACCCTACTCCAGGAGCCCGCCATCAGTCAGGCATTCAGGACCCCAGGGTTCTGTCATCTCTCCTAATGGCGGGAGGGCAGAAAAGCCTGATACTTTACCTTACCCTACACTCTCCCCCCACATTTCACTAGTTAGGGTGTGAGTGAGTGTGTGTGTGAATCTATATTCCTGTTTTTCTTTGTTTGATATAATGCAATCTAATAAATACAGGTTGTATTTATTCAGACTTATAAGTCAAGTTATTACTCTCTTCTTTGTTTAAAAAGACTGGAGGTGGTTTATTTATTTGCTCCATAGGTTTTGGTAAATTCTTGCTTTTGTCAATTCAACAAAGAGTGATTGAACATGTACTATGCTCGAGTGTAGGGTAAAGAAAATATCAGGCTTTTCTGACCTTCCACCATCAGGATAGATGATGGATCCTTGTCCTGAATGCATGCCTGATGGTGGGCACCTGGAATAGGGTGTGGGCATAGGTAGATGGGATTCAGCTGAGCTAAGACTGTGCTTTTTAAGGGTGGCGTCACGGGGACGCCAGCAGCAGCAGAAGCTGAAGCCGAAGCCGAAAGAGAAGCCGAGAAGCAGCAGAACGAACTCCAGAGAGCTCAGATAGAGTGAAGACTTGCCCCCCAGCCCCCCAGCCAGCACCTCTGCCTGCCATATGCCTGGTGAACCCCAATAAAAAACCTGCAAAACCACTGAGGACTTTGACTCCTCCTTTACCCGGTCTGCATGGGATCAGAAAACCTGCTCTGTGGCCAGTCCTGCCCTTACATCGAGGCATCTCATGGTTTATAAAGTTGAATCAAATGTGGTCCCTGATGCTTGTGTCTTCCTATGATCCTTCTCAAGAAGCAGTTTTTTAACAAGAGGGTAATGACTAGTTGCATCGTCAGAATCACCCAGGGGCTTGTTGAAAATATATCTTCCCTGGGCTCCAAATCTTAGCTTAGAGAAATTCTGATAATAGAAAAGGACCCAAGGTGTGTGCTGTTTTAACAGCAACTTCTCCAGGTAAACCTGATACACAAACTGGTATTAAGAAACACTAATGTAAGAGAGGACTAGTTGCAGGAGATCAGCCCACAAGTCCACCAGGTGGATGCACTGGAAATCTACACAATGAGCTGTTGGCTACAGTGGTTTATAGGTCTGTTTTTCCCTCTTACCACAGCTTCAGAACTGATAGTTATAATGTGAAATGCATCCCAGAGCACACAGGTGGGCCCGATTTTTCTGTAAAGTAACTATAAAGCAGAACAAGATCATTATGAAGTTACAGGCAAAAATCTTATCCAAACACTCCCAACATTCTGTGTTTCCTCCTTTACTAGATTGTGAAGTATTCCAGAGCAGTAGCAATCTTTTTTTCTCCCACTGAGCCCAGTATCATAATAGTCATTTGACAGGTGTTTGATTTGAGTAGAATCTTCTCCAACTTCTGGGCTCTTACTATCCATGCATAGTGGATATTTATAAAATATCCATAAAAGTATATATTTACTTATAAAACATTCCAGTCACCCAAAAGATAGGTAACACATAAAAAAGAAAGAGCAAGAAAACAAGCATCGATCATCCCCAGTCTATGCAATAAGACGTTGCCAATATCTTTTTGTTCCCCTCTCGAACTAGCTCCTTTGAAAAGTAACAATCTTCTGATATTTAAGTAAGAATGGGAACATGCACTATGCATGGGATCATTCATCCACTTGTAGGTACTAAGTGCCAGGATGATGTACCTTGGGCAGTTGTTTCTACAATTGGAATTAGGGTTGTCAACAGTGACACAAGCTTTTCCAGACTGCTTTTGCTGCAAGTTGCCCCAACCCGGCTAGCCCTCCAGAGATGGCGTGGCTTCTGCATGCGGACACTTGGGGTGGAAACTACGGGTCCCGGCAGTCCGCGGGGCGAGAGGGCGGAGCCGGGCCGGGGGCGGGGGCCGGACGAGCGGGGGCATTGTGTCGGGAGCGCGGAGCTGCATTTGTCTGCCCGAGGTGCTCGCGGAGCGAGCGTTTTGGTGGCCGGCTGGGGACTGCAAGTGTCAGCGGTGGCCGAGGCCCTGGCGGGAGCCGGAGCGAGAGCAGCCACGCGCCTGCTGACCGGGGTCGCTGGCAAGGGGCGGCGTGCTAGCGGAGCAACATGCAGATAGGCGCCCCGCGCTCTGACGACCCCTCCCGAGGACAAGAGGCCGGGGCCACTCTGGGGCGGCGGGGAGCATGAGGGAGGCCGGGGGCTGGCTCGACTCGGAGCGCTGCTAGGGAGCGGTGCGAGCTGCACACTCGCTGGGGCGCATCGGAGGGCGGGGAGCCGGGCTGGTAGCGCCCGCAGGCGGGAGCCGGCCACCGGGAGCTGTTCTGATTTCCTACGCGGACGAGAGGGGCTCGGAGCAGCCCCCGACCCCTGCGTGCAGCCAACATGGGCAACGCAGGGAGCATGGATTCGCAGCAGACCGATTTCAGGGCGCACAACGTGCCTTTGAAGCTGCCGATGCCCGAGCCAGGTGAACTGGAGGAGCGATTTGCCATCGTACTGGTGAGTGCGCGGCGGCTGCTGGGCGCGGGGCCCCCCGAGCTCCCGGCCAGGCGGCGCAGCTGACCCCGGCCCCCTCCTCTTTTCTCCGCACCGGGAGCGAGCCTGCTGTTCCTGGGGTGAGGCGCCCACCTTCTCCATTGTGGTCTCCCCGACTCCTCTCTGTTCCCCTTCAAGACCCCCGCGCTCAGCGCTCTTGGGGGGTCACGGGATGGACTCGGGGGTCCGAGCGGGCTCCCGGCCAACCCCGGACCCATTGTCTGGCGGGAGAGGCACCTCGCCGCTCGTGTGCCGGGAAGGTGCGGCGTGGGCGTGCAGGGAAGGTAGTGCCGGCCTGGGATGAGGCGGCGAGCCTTGTTGGCTTTTTGTTCTAAGGAAAAGAAAAAAATCCCGACAAACCCAAGTCCCCGAGGACCATCCCGCGGGGTCCGGGGCAGATGGGCGCGTGTGGCTGGCGGCGGGCGCTGCGCCGGGCGTTGCGCAAAGGCGAACTTGGAGAGCGGACGTTGCGGTTTGGCGGAGGGGAGCTCCTCCGAAAAGGAAAGAGAAGGAAACCCGCGACTATGCGGCGCCCCCGTCCCTGAGTAAGGAGGGGGCGTCTGAAGCCGGGCGAGAAAGAAGCTTTACTAGAGCGCGTTCCTTTTGGTCTTTAAATCTCAAACCACAAAAATGTGCAGTTTTGCGGGGACGTGTTGCGAACTGTCCTAACTCCAGGGGCGTCTCGACCCCTCCTGTCCCACCAGCACACCCTGCTCAGTGCCCGACTCCCTCCCAAAATCCCCTCCTAGCTTTCCAGCTCCTCAGATCCAAAACACTAAAGACTCCCTTTACTCCCTCTCTCCCTTTCTTGTTGAGAATGAGTTTCTGGGCCTCTCCCAACCACAGTCTGTCAGTGTGCTGTGAGCTCAAGAGGGTGTGGCGGCCTACCCCTTGCCTACCCCTTGCCAGAGTCTGTACTGCAGTTGCTCTCCAGACTAAGATTTTCAGTATCCCAGCCTCTTTTAAGGGATGTTGGGGGGGGGTGGGGTGGGGGGGACATGCGAGATCGGAAGCCTCTTCCTTACACTTGTACACTACCCCCTCCTAACTAGTTACTTCCAAACTCCACAAGGCTATGTGGCAAGAGAAACTTGTGCTCAAGGCAGCCAAATTTTGTCTGTTGGCAGGTTTTTACAGTATAACCTCACAGTTTTGGTAAAGGACCCAAGTCTCAACACTGGGATATTTAAATTACCTTTCTTTTTGCTTTTATAAGGGACTGGTTTGATATGGAGAATAATGTTCTGGATGGCAGGTCAGTCTTGTGCTCTTTGGGATAAAAGAGGCCACATGCTTTACCAGGCCACCCGGGAAACTCTGGTGTGGCAGGGAGATAGATGAAGCTGCCTGTCTTGCTTTGCATCTTCTGTGATCTCCCACAGCTGCTCTCTCCTTGTGCAAGCTGGGACACTGAACTGAAACAGCATAGGCTTAATTATTTCTCAAGGCAGGCTGGGTGCATACTTGACCCATCTTTCCAGAGACCATCGTTTTTATTCAAAATCCTCTTCCGACCAGACATATGTTTCTTACCTCCTGGCTGTGGGTTTTCTGTCTTTCCATCCATGGGGGGGTGGGGGTGGGGGTGGGGTGGGTTGTGCCTGTGTGTGTGTGTGTGTGTGTGTGTATACTTGAAGTAGAAGGACCAGTGACAGGAAAATCAGTGCAGCAACCATAATAATAATAATGCAATTAAGTCCTGCTCAACTGGGATAGCATTTTTTGTGCCTGAGCTTTCAGTTACCCTGCTGATTAATAACACATGGTATGAATTAATCTTTAGAAAAATAATGTTCTGTCATTAGCAAGGTGGATTTGTGTTACTGTTAAGTCTAACAGTCACAAATTTAATATGTAGACATTTATGATTCTCCATCACAAGTTCCTTGGGGGCCTTGGTTGATTGTTGTGGCTACTTTTGCTCTACTGTGCATCACATGGAGTTACTGGATGCAGATCCCTTCTTAGTTGTTTATAATATTTTAAGCCTCGCAAAAGAGAGAAAAACCAGAAACAAAAATGCAGGCTAACTTTTATTGAATAGAGTCAAAGCTTTTGGGAAAGTGTCAGCTTGGGGGCCCTTTTGTTAGGGATGCACTTGGACAATTGATGTGGTGTTTACTGTAACTCTCCTTAGTCAGCGTTTGAAACCTAACAGAGCAGTTAAATGAACCATCTTTGTGGGCTGATGGAAGTACAGGGTTATGGTGATTTCTCTTGTGGTCAGTTTTTTCCTGAAGTTGTGTATGCAATACTCCCAACTTTTTCTTCAAGAATTGCTTAAGAAATAAGCTCAAACCGTTTAATTATGGAGATCGAGCTTGAAGGACAAATTTTAGATGTCAAGTTGTAAAGTACTTATGAGGGTGAGTTTTGTACCCTGAGACAATGGGAATCATATTGGCATTATTGATAGTAGTTTTATTTTCCAAAATGGTAATTATCGTAGAAGTGTTTTGGGAGGAAAACCAGATAGTAATACTGTTCAACACTTCATAGTAAGTATGGCTTCCATTAATAATTAATGAGCTATTTGAGGCATGGAAAACTATTCTTCCCATTCCCCAAGCTCTAGAATATTTAAAGCCTTGGGGAATTATAAGTAAAATTAAAATGACAGAAGTCTTTATTTCTGAAAAATCTTGAGAGAACAAAACTGTACCTTCACCGCCTTCCTCCCAAGTCTGTGAGCTAAAGTGTATAAATCTAAAAAATAGTATTGGATATGAATGGAAAGGTGAGCTGAGAGTGTAACAGATTACTGAATTAAGATCAGTAGAGGCATAAATTAAAAAAAAATTTCACAGTGTAACAGATTACTGAATTAAGATCAGTAGAGGCATAAATTAAAAAAAAATTTCAATCGTAATAAATGAGGTTTTTTAAATAGAGAATTGAGTTACTGAGCTTCCTGTAATTAGTGACTAGTAAAAGTTGAAACCAAATCTTAAGAGCTTAATCCTCTTAAAGAGGCTGTCATTCCTGAACTTATCTTCAGCATTATTATAATAATGGTTGTAAACTTATATTTAAGGGAAAAGTTTATTGACTTCTTGTTTACATTTAACTATTTCAGGAAGAGCTTAGAAGGTGATGTGCTTTTATGTGTGTCATGTTCTGTTACTCTTTGATGGAAGTTTTTCAGAAATTATAGACTTAAGTCATCTTCAAATCTTTGTTCTCTTAGGAGTATATATTTTATATGTGTATAAAACATTCTTATTTTTGGCCCCACCCATTTATAATTAAATATGCATATGACTCTAATGCCTTTATAAAACATTGTCTCATTGTTGGGAATATAAACATACATACACACACACATAGAAATAGAAATACATATACTCCCATGTCCTTTATTTCCAAAGATAAAGCAATAAAGTAGTGAAGAGTTGTTGATTTTGTCCAAGAATACTTCTTCGTACCTCTCTCCATAATTTTTATGAATGTTTGACTTGTAGTAACTGTTTACAACTTAAGAGGTAAGTCCTCCAATGCCTTTTTTTGAGGAGCTATCTTTTTTTTTGTTTTTAAGATTTATTTATTTATTTGTACAAGCACTGGGGACAGTCAGAAGCGTGGGAGGGTGAGAGAATTCACCAGAGCCAGAGCGGGAAGCAGAGCAGGCAGAAGGACCAAAGTACACTGCTGAGGGGAGCAGCGGGGTGGCAGGAGAGGTCTGCCCGCCATGTGGGACCCTCCCCCAGGCTGCGGACAGCTTCCAAAACAGCTTTGAGGAGCTATCTTTTTTTTTTTTTTTTTTTAAATCTTTTTATTTTATTTTTTTTTTTATAGAGGCATGTTTTATTTATTTATTTTGTTTGTTTGTTTGTTTTGTTTATACATGCACTGGGTACAGTCAGAAGCGCGGGAGGGTAAGAGAATTCACCAGAGCCAGAGCGGGGAGCAGAGCAGGCAGAAGGACCGAAGTGCACTGCTGAGGGGAGCAGCGGGCGGCAGGAGAGGTCTGCGCGCCATGTGGGACCCTCCTCTGGTGGCCGGGGAGCAGCCGGGGATCGAACCGGCGCCGCAGAGGCCGCGGGCAGCTTCGCAACCCAGCGCTCAACCGCTGTGCCACCGGGGAGGCCCTTGAGGAGCTATCTTAAGGATACTTACTTTGAGTTGGAGGGAAGGAAACTTTCAAGCCCTCTATACTAGCTGTAACAAATCAGATTGAACAGACTGTTTTGCAAACATGTTCAAAAAGGCAGATTGGGAAGTAATGGTTTAGGGCAGTATATTTGCCGAATACCTACCAAGCATATACCCTGTGCTTATATTCTCATTTAATTCTCACAATAACTCCCACCATTAGCGGTATTATAAATGAGGAAGACAATATTACCAAAATTGTCTGAAGTTATACAATTATTGAGTAACTAACCTAGGATTTAACTCAGATACAGACCTCTGGTTCTTCTATTGTGCCTCCCTAGGTCTAGAACTGGGGAGGGGGAAAAAAAAGGCTTGGCACTATCAGTGAAGCTTTTAAAAAAATTCTAAATCTGGTAAATGCAGATGCAAACTGTTATGAGATTGGCAGAAGTTTCTTAGAAATAACCAAAGTGCGATTCACTTGATGTTTTCCTTTAGATGTCAAACATTTTGGCATCTTCACTACACCATTCTATTTTCAGGCATGTAGTTAAATATTGATTTGATCCAAAAAAGTACTCTTCAGTTTTTCCTTTCAAGGGAACTTGAAGGAACTTTCAAGTAGGCTTCAACTACTTTGGTTGGGAAGTTTAGGTTTTCCAAATCAGGGAAGAGATAACTTGTGAATACAGTGTGCACACTCCAAATGTAATTACTTGTGAAAGGGACAAGGAGGTCAAGTTTTAATTTATTTCCTCTTGCAAAGTGTTTGTTTCCTTTTAGCCACTTCCCAGGAGAGTCCTTACCATGAAGTCTGCTGAGCAGGTGCGTGGGTAGGAATGTCATTTCTCCTGTTGGAGGGAAAGAAT